TGCAGGCCTGAAGAAGTGGGTGGAAGTTGGAAACTCTGGGCTTTTCCGCCCTGAGATGCTGCTGCCCATGGGACTACCTGAGAACGTATCTGTTATTGCCTGGGGCCTCTCACTGGAGCGGTGAGTACTCTACTGGAAAGGGAATTCTGGCTGCCAGCTTCACTCATTCATTTGTTCTTTGTCTGCTCTGCTGCCCTTCTGGCCCCAGGGAGATAGTTTCTCGGGTGGGTGCAGTGGTTTAACAGGATACTTAGACTAGCCTAAGTAGCCACACCCTAGATTCTGGCACTTCCAGGAGCTTCAAGCTCCTATGAGAATCTATGCCTGTCTGCTGGTCATCCCAGCATACAGGAGACTAAGGCAGGAGGATTACCACACATCAGAATTCAACCTAGGACTCAAAATGCCCTGTCTCAAAAAACTGAAAAAGATGGGCCAGGGTGGTGGCTCAATAGAATAAGCATTTGCCTGGCAAGCTCAAGGTCCTGAGTTCAATCCCTGGTACCACAAAAAACAAAAGCAAAAAAAGTACAAACAAACAAAAAACTGAAAGAAGAAAATCTAATGCTGATCTGACAGGAACTGCAGCTCTGTTTGTGATTTGAGTAACAAAAGCAACAGGGGCAGCTAGAAATATGGAGGAAGTTGTGCTTCCTGGCCTACCACTCCCCTCCTGCTGTGTGTCCCCTGATTCGGTGATAGACCTGTGGCAGGAAGTGCCACCCCTTGATACCTTTATGGGCTGGGGCTCTAGATGAGGTCTAAGGTGGCTAGGGAGGGTTTTGTAGAAGAGGTGGCCGCCGTGCAGACTGAAGGTGCTACCAGAGTGCCTGTGAGGGTATCAGGCAGAGGCCTTGGGGTGCTTTAAGTGGTCCCGTAGGTCAGCAGGCCTGCAGGTTTTCTTGGAGAAAGGGTTTAGAGTTATGGAGCGGTTTTAGGTAGGACAAGCTTGACCTGACCTGGGGTTAAGCTCTGTTCTCCAATCTTCCCTAGCCCGACCATGATCAAGTATGGCATCAACAACATCCGGGAGCTAGTGGGCCACAAAGTGAACCTACAGATGGTCTACGACAGTCCCCTGTGCCGCCTGGACGTGGAACCCAGGCCCCAGAGGACACAGGCAGCAGCTTGATCCTGGCTGCTGCCCCACCATCACTGGTGACCCCTTGTATTTATGAGGCCTCTGTGAGGCCCGCTACCCCCACCCGGGACCAAGGGTCCAGGGCTGGGGAAGCAGGCGATATAATAAAGCGGGCAGTTGCCCTCATCTGCTGCCTTTCTTTGGGAGTCCTATAGGGTCCCCCAGCTCCACAAGCTGTTTGATGGAACACAAATTGGTGATGGGTTCTTGGGTATACAGGGTGGTGAGTTGGGGATCAGGGGTCCTCAGAACCAGCCTCCTAGCAAGGGCTAATTCTTTTTTTTTTTTTTTTTTTGCGGAACCAGGGATTAAACTCAGGCCCTTCCGCTTGCCAGGCAAGTGCTTATTCTGCTGAGCCATCTCCCCCGCCCAAGGGCTAATTCTGATTTATGTTTTTGAGACGGCCTCACGCTAAGTAGTCCAGGCTGGCCTTGAATTCCTGATAGTCCTTCTGCCTTGGCCTCCTAGTGCTGGGATTGAAGGTGTGTGCTGTGGTTCTCACCTCTTGAGAAGTGCTGGTTCTGTGAAGCCTTTGCTACCCACCTGTTGGTTTCAAGTCCCCCTCCTTCCTTCCTTCCTTCATTTCTCCCCCTCTTTTTTTCTTGCCTCCTTGCCCTCGCTGACCTTCTGTGGCAGCACTGGGGATTGAAGCAAGAGCTTCACAGTGCAGTACACCCTCCAGCCCATTTTATTTTGAGACAGGATGCCACTGAATTGCCTGGACTGGGCTTAAATTTGGGATCTTCCTGCCTTGGCCTCCCAGAGTGCTGGGATTGCACGTGTGCACTGCCACAGCCGGTTCAGGCCCTTTTCTAGAGGAAAGGAACAGAAACACAGACCCCCTCTCCTGGTAGAGGGGAGGTTTTTTTCGTTTTTTTTTTTTTTTGGTGGCAGTGGTGGGATCCCAAGTGGTTTTTGAGGTTCCTTTAACCTGGACTCCCCGCTAGCTGGTGGAAATAGAGGCTAGAGGACTGCTGTTGAAAAGGAAATTCTAGGAGTTATGAACCTAAAGGAATGAGTAGGATAAGGCTCCGTGGCTCACCTGAGCTTTGTCTCTGACATGTTTTTATGGACGGTTCGTTTGTTTGGGTGTTGGGGATCAAACCTAGGGCCCTGCACATGCTTAAGATTTTTTTTAAAAAATTATATTCAAGGAGCTTGTGGGTTAGCTCATTTGTGTAAGTGCCTGCTCTGGCAAACCCAGTCAGGCACAAGGGACCACGGTTCGATCCTCAGCATGCCTTACCAGACCTGCCCTTAAGTCAGCCTGAGCCAGCCCCCCTAAAAATTATATTCGAAACCAGTGAAGCAAGAGCTGGGTGTAGTGACGCACATCTGTGATCCCAGCATTTAAAGGTGAGGCAGGAGAATTGCCCAGAGTTTGAGGCTGAAGCCAGTCTGGACTACATAGCAAGTTCAAAGCCAACCTGAAGTATACACAGTAGTATCCTGTCTCGGAAATGAAACAGAGAATATAGCGCAACAGCCGAGCACCTGCCTGGCAAGTAACTCAGACTTGTGGCAGCCCTCCTGTCCTCAGCCCTCCCAGTGCTGGGATTACAGGCATGTGCTACCACACCTGGAGTCAGGTACCAGCAAAAAACAAAAGCAAAAAAAGTACAAACAAAAAACTGAAAAAAGAAAATCTAATGCTGATCTGACAGGAACTGCAGCTCTGTTTGTGATTTGAGTAACAAAAGCAACAGGGGCAGCTAGAAATATGGAGGAAGTTGTGCTGGGGCTGGGGCTGGGGCTGGCGTGGCATGCAGTACTGGGGATCCCTGGTCCCTGTGCTTGCCCAAGTAGGTACTTAGTCCGCTGATATATCTCCTGCCCATGAGTCCAGATTTAAACTTCATCTTTTCCACCTTGTACACATCAAGATATGCTCTAGTTGTGTGGTTGGGGACACAGCCTGGTGAAGAAGGGTTGGTCCAGGTGGGCATGGTGGCCCACAGCTGTCATCGCAGCACCCAGGAGACTGAGGCAGGAGGATCACAAGTGACAATATAAGGGGCCAGGGAGATGGCTCAGTGGAATAAGCGCTTCCCTGGCAAGCACAAGGGCCTGAGTTCAATCCCTGGTTCCACCAAAAAAAAACAAAACAAGAAGTGACTATATAATGAGTTTTCAAGAGCAGCCTAAACTGTAACAAAACTGTCTCAAAGAAAACAACAAAGGTTGGACAGGTGAAGAATTCTTGCTGTCTTCCTCACAAGAACACTCTGACAGCGCCACTTCCTTTGTGGTCAATTGAAGTAGTCTGAAAACCATGTGTTGAGCAGCCTGGGCCTGTTTGACTTTACTTAAGCCAGTCCCTGCTGTGCTGCCAAGCGGCCTCCTGGCTAGTGCCTCCTGCTGAATTTATGATATAGGACCTTTGCACATACTTGGGCAAGGGTGATGGCGCACACACAAGAAGCCAGCCCTTCATCCTCTTAAAATGAAGTCACCACATGTTGCCCAGCCTGGATTAGAAATACTGAGCTCAGGGGCTAAGGAGATAGCTCAGTGCAATAAGTGCTTGCCTGGCAAGCACAAGATCCTGAGTTCGATCCCTAGTACCACCAAAAAATAAAAGAAATTTATTTATATTTTTTTTTAAAGTTTATTTTGTGTGTGTGTGGGTGTGTGGCCAGCTCAGCCCACCAGGGGGAGTGGCTGGCTGTCATGTGCTGGGGGATCGAACTGCTGTCCTTGTGCTTTGCTAAGCTTGTTCTAAATAGGTGCTTTAGACCACTGAGCCATCTCACCAGCCCGATAAATAAGTTTATATGGAATGGAGAATGTGAGTTATTTAGGAAAAAAAAAATACTGAGCTCAAGTGATCCTCTTGCCTCAGCTTCCAGAGTGGTATGGACTACCGGTACACACTCCCCGCTCTGTTTTCATTTTTGTTGAATTGGTTCGTGCCACGTACATAGTTACTGTTGTTACTAAAGGACACCACACTGTAGATTTCACTTTGCTTTCAAAGTGCTACTTTTGGAATGTACAAGCAATTAATTCAAAGTAATGAGTGCACAGCCACCTTTAGGAGGGAGAGTTTCAGTTGAAATCGGGAATCTGAGAGGGAGCCCTCCAGAGGCTGAGGCAGGAGGCTCCCGAGTTCAAAGCCAGCCTGGGCTTACACCATTTGAAAACATGAGGGGCTGGCCAAATAGCTCAGCAGATTAAAGCTCCTGCCAGCAGGAGTGGTGTGGTGTCCAGGGCCTGCCCAGCCGGACCCATCCCCAGGGTGGGCTGAGATGGCAATTGAGACTGGGCGCAATGGAGACCCTGAACACCTTGTAGACTTTTCCTAAAATACAAAAAAGAAAGAAAGAAAACAGAAAACCAACAAAATCAGCTTTTTAAAGACAGGGTCTTGCTACACAGTTTAGGCTGGCCTTGAGCTCACTTGGTAGCCCAGGCTGGTCTCAAACTTGCAAGCATCTTCCTGCCTCAGCCTAGCCTCCCAACTGCTGGGATGACAGGCGTGCGCCAACACCCGGCAAAATCCGCATTTGGGGAGGGGTACTGAGGATCAAACTCAGGACTTGAGCTTGCCAGGAAGGCGCTTGTGCCCCTTGTGCCACAGAGCCAAATCCTCGGGCCCAAATCAGCATTTTGTACCAGGAACATTTCTCCAGACAACAGCTGGACTGAGATCTACAGAATGAACGCGCACAATGCCTGTCCACACGGGAGACCGACAGGCAGGCGGACCCTCGTCCTGGGTGGTGCTGGCTGCGCGCGCAGCCGCTGGACCTCTCAACCGTCACTTAACGCCTGGCCCTGCCGCTCGGCTCTGGCGGGGGCCCGGTGGGGGCGGGGCCTGGAGCGCGCGTCATAGCACGTGGACGGGATGCTTCAGCGACTGGGCCAGGCGCATGCGCAGAAGGCGTGACCTCAAAGGCGGGAAAAGATGGAGCGACTCGAAGTACGCAGGGCCGGTCCCTTATTGCGGGCAGTGGGCGGACGGGAAAGGAGCAGCTGCTATGCTCGGCTTTCCCCGCAGTCGTGAACCTGACCACTTCCCATACTGTCTGGGCTCCCTCACGTCCCACCCGTCTCCTCGATTTCCTAACAGACCGACCCTGACTGACTGACTGACTGACTGACTGACTGACTGAAGTGCGGACAACCCCTGAGGGCCGGGCCCCGCGAAGCCCTGCCGCTCTGGGGCTCCTGGCGAGTTCCCTGTCCTAGTCCTGTCCTGTCCCCACATGCCCGCAGGCAGACTTGCCCTGCGCAGAGTTGAGTGACCAGGCGGCCCCAGCCTTGGCGCAGGAGGAGAAGCAGCCTGTCTCTGAGGACAGCCGTACCACTGAGGAATCCGGCGGAGGCCCGGCCAGGTGAGAACTGGCCCGGTGTGGGTCCTGCGCCCAGCCCTTTTGTGTTTTTTTTTCTTTTCTTT